GGCACAGCCCCATGGCACAACAAGACAGGAGAGCCAACTGCTGTGCAGCACCAAAAACTTCTGAAACTGACATTTTGTCAAAGAGGTGCATTGTCCAACAGCACAAGTACTGAATTTGTAGTTGTTGCAGATAAACCTGGGGCTTCTAATATGCCTAACTAGACCATTTTTTTACTACAGGACCTGGTTGTCAGTTTAGGAAGTTCCTTTGTGCATGTGATGTTAAGATACACATTAAGACTGAAGTCTTCCTGCTGTACTCAGGACTACTTGCTGTACTGACGTGAATTAGCAGCTTTTTTCTCCCAGAATACAGTTACAGAACAATACAAAAACACTACACTGGCAAAACAGCTGACCCCTAGAGAACTTTAATTCTTTGTGAGAATTCTAGATTTTCAAGATTAAGTCCATTTCAAGAATATGCCTTCTGCACTACAGTGAATTATTTATCACAGTAGCACTGAAAGGTCATAATCGGAATGTAAAACTTAAAACTTCGTTTAATCACACATCATGCAAATATCTAAATTTCCTGTGCTAAAGAGATTATTTTACTCAGCTTTTTTTAAAAAGCTTTCAGGAGATTTCAGAAAGCATCAGACAGGATAAAATAAACATATTTTGTCACCTTTTTTTAGCTAATATTATCTTGCCATAAACAGTCCCATCTTCTAAAGTAGTCGGTATTGAGGTTAGATAACAATTTTCAAGTAAGAATCCACTTTTCTCTAATGGTACAGCTTATACTAGAGGAAGCTTCCTGTAAACATCCACAAAACCACCTCATGTTATTCTTCAAGTACTCCTTTGGAGTTATGTTTTGCTATTGTATCAACAAAGATAAAATCCAGGTATATTCAGCACCATCAGAACATGCATCCCACGGGGACTCATTCTGTTTCCCTGTGGTAAGTTTCAGCTATTTAAATCCCTATATTGACTGTTGTACTTACATCACAAGTGTACATAAATATTCTTACTCTGTAGTTGTGCTATGCTTTCACCATAGAACTGAGGGCTGCTAGATGGCAAGATAAAAAGCTGTAAGAGTATCAACATGGAGATATTGAGAAGTTTTAACCCTGAAGAACATTAAAAGCAAGCAATACTTCTACTTAAGTAAATGTGAAATCTTAGCAGCCTCACACCAGTTATTTTATTCCAGAATATCTTAACTATCAAGTTCCCCCCTCACAATCATTATGTCAAACAGGAAGAAGCAGAAGAGGAATTCCTAGTACAGATGAGACATTTTGAGTACAACATATTTTAAGGTTAAAGACTAGAGCCATGAACTGAACTTCCATGTTTCACAACAAGCCACACATGTAGCTGAGCAAAACCACTTGGAAACTGAGGGTTCTCACAGCAAGTGATGGGGTTAGATTCACCTCTTCAGTACAAAACACACCCAGAACACGACTGCCACCATGGATGCAGCGCTGTCTTAAGAGAAATTATTTACAGATAACATGAACTAGTACCACACCAGACTGATGCTCCTTTCCTCTCAGCCAAGAAAGAACTAGTAACAGACTCCTTAAACATGCCTCCTACTAACCAGAATGAATCAAACAGTAACTGGAACAGTGCCTCATTTAATTTAATTTAAGGGTGAATGAAAATAATAAACAGAGCACATGGTGCCAGTAGGAACTGTTCTGCCACATGCACCAGGGCATGCTTGTTATTCTGACTAGTGATCCATAAAGTCAGTCATTACGAAGATCACCTTCTAAATTAGAGGCCGTGTCTATGTTTACTGAAGCCAGTAGGGAAAACCCCCCACACCTTCCCATATTAATTTATTCTAGAGAAATTTCATGTAAATTATGCTTCATTTGTGTATTCATGTATAATAACTATGGGAATGTAAATTAAGCTATTTCAGTGATTCCTCACGTCTGTATTTCTAAGCCAAATGTCATGAAATCAGCATAGCTTTTCTCTAAGTCATGGGGAAACCAAATAGATCCACCATAACCCATAAGAATTTCTCACCACAACAAGCACAATCACTACTGCAGAGATGAATTTAGACTGCTCCATCATTTCACGTGTGGTAGTCTTCATTCACCCGTACTGATGCACAAGTTTAACAACCTCCTTATATGTGAGCCCTGCCATGCAAACTTCTGTTTTAGATTGCCTAGTTCAATTCAATCACTCTTAAGGTGAAGCATTTATTCTACGTATGGTCTGAAAGCACAGGAGACAAGCCAACACATCTAGCTGCATGGCCATGAGCTTCTCCACAGGCCTCCATTTCAGTAAAAGTCTTCTGAGAAGTACATGAGTATTTTACTTACATAGCTAGAGTGATCTGCAGTGGAAACCATACACACAGCGCAATACAATCATTTAGTTATTGCTTATGGAAATGCTACAAAATGTATTTTGTACTCTCTTAAGGAAAAATGAGATTTCCTCTTTTCTCCTCCCCTCATCTAACATCTCCACAAACCAGGTTATACAGCCTCCTAGACAACTGAGAAACATCTTCATAAACTGGCAGAATTGACAACTAGTTCAAAAAGTAAAAACTCTTTGATATGAACCTCCCCCATTTACTCTGGGTTAAGTGGAGAACAAGGAGTAGAGGAGAAAGATGAAGACATTGACACTTAAGAATACATTCTTTTTGGTACCGAGAAGTCCATGGGATAAAAATAAGCTATCACCAAGATTTAAAAAAATGTCTGTTCTGTACATAGCCCTTTCAAAATAGCAATAACCTGTGTGTCTTAAACAGGGATGCAAGGAAAGAGATCCCACTGTATCCACTGGCTGCCACCCTTATTTACGCAATCAATTTTCAATTACCATGTGCTCTTGTGAGGTTATTATTATAGAATAAGGCTCTTTGCTGATGAACCTGGACCTACCATAGCAAGAAAGGAAAGATCACTACAACTGTCTGAATTGATTTACAAAAGGTAAACAAGCTTAAAATATGCTACAGAAAAAGAAGCAGTTATCTTAAGAGAAAGAATAAGAAATGCCGACATGAAAATACACACCTTCTGATTTACCTATATAAGAGGAGATATCATTCACTGCAGGTCAAAGAATATTAAGTTACATAAATAACAGATGCATTAGGAATACATTACATTCCTTGTCTCAAAAACTAGGAAAACAAAGTAAGAGAAGGTTGAAGGAAAGTTTAAAAAATAGTTCAAAAGCCACTTCAATATATATTCCACAATACAGACACAGACAATTACAGTTAATTTATAGAAAAAATAAATCAATTGGCAAACAACTGCTCTGCTGCAGTGGCAGAATAAATTATGGCTTATTAAAAAAGACAAAAATTACTCATTATATATCTAACGTTACGGTCTCACTTGAGTATTATGACATGTTTCACTCACTAATACCCACAAAGAAAAATTCAGAAAAGGGAAATTGAAATGATAAACATATTGTCTTGGTATGCTACATTAAGAAAGAAAAAGTGCTAGGACTGAAACTTTTAGAAAATTTACAGAAATGAGTAATGAGATGAAATGTGAAACACAAGAGAGATTCAGACGCTTAAGACCATAAACAACTGCTAAAAACACAGCATCTCTGAGTTATCTAAATTTACAAACTAGAAAAACACAAGTTTACTAGATGAATGTTAGGGAGACCAAAACATTTTTCCCAAATAACGCTAGTCAAGGAACATTAAAAAAAAAAACCAACAAAAAACACGAAACCGAAAGATAAGTAGTACAGACGTCACACCATTGTAATTTTATTGTTGTGATTTTAGAAACTGCCTAAAATTAATGAGTGGAAACAAAATATAGCCTTTCCTCCCCCAGGTGAAATCATAACAATAGTTACAAATAAAGACAAACTCAATAATGCCTTCAGCAAACAGACCCACTATCGGTTAAACTCAAGGTAAAACTTCCATCCTGACACAACACTGCAGAACAATCTAGGGATAGCTGGATGGAACTGAAACTCTCCAAAAAGCTTTCAGGATTAACCACTGGCTAGCAACTGCTTAAATACTGCTCTACTTTTAAGTTCCCAATGCCAGTCTCACATGAGCAGTCATCTCTTCCTGAAGAGATCTGAAATGCATACAAAAGTAGAAGCAATACAAGTTTTCAGTTTTAATGTTCTCCTACCACTGGAAAGAGAAATGTCATTCTGAGTAGCCTGCCTCACAAAATTTGATGATGCAATGAAAGATTAAGAAACACACACAAGCCCACCCCCCAAACAAACTAACAGTTGTAGGTTTCTTGTTTTATTAATTTGCACACCTTCCAGTACGTATCTCTAATTTGCAAAGAGAATACATAGTGGTTTTATACCGCACAGCAGTTTACTTTCAGATTTGATACAGTGGAAAAGAAAGTGGTGACATGTTAACTGTGCTGTAAAGGAGGTGGCAAGGAGCATTTTAATTTCATCTGAAAATCTGTCAGGTCAGTTCTGTCATCATAAAACTAGCTCCCTTCATTTTTCATAGTATTACATACAATGTAATGTGAAAACCTTCCAGTTGAGGAGGATTAATGCTGACATTTGAATTTTCCCAATGTATAGTAATATCAGCTTTAATAACCACCATACACGTCATCTTTTATGTTGTATGACATCTAGAACAAATTTACAGAACCTCTGTTCTCCCAACAGTTCAACACACCAGTGGAGGCAAAAAAGTAGGAATGAAAAATACTTACAGGAGCAAAGACAGTCATTAGAACAAGAAAGAGCAGAAGAGAAGGCATTTTGTATACAATGCCTACTGTTTAGATTAATAGGAAGAGACCAGATAACTGGAACGGAAAATGGCTGCTTCAGCGACCTTTAGTGTACGTGATGCCATCCCTGAAAATGAACCTTAAAAATGGATATGCTCAAAATACTCATCAAGGAAAGAGGGAGCAGGCAACTGACAGCCAGTTGAGAGAAAAGCAAAGTCTATGGTAAGAGACTTACAATTCTGGGCTTTTTAGATCAGTTTGACCTCAATTTGCATCTCCTTATCATTCTATTCCTTTAATTAGATTAATGCGACATTCATGGCACACCATAGGTGTTACAGACTGGCTTCTTTAAATACATTTGAAATGTTAATTGGAAATGCTAGCAGCTATGCAAAGTAATCAAAAAGTGTAGTACCATGAGATTGATGAAATTAATCTGGAAGAAGTATTTAATATAGCAACAAAATCCTGAGCAACTGTCAAATAGCTCTTTTCTGTCAACACTCACTTAACAAAGGCTTTAGATGATCTTCACTAGAGAAAGACTATTCTTAGCTGTTTAAAAATGACAGAACAGCCTCATCCCCCTCTAATGGGAGAAAAGTCTTGCAGCATCTCAATGGCCTGAAAGTTTAGTTTGATGATAAAAGCAACAGTTATTTTTAGAACTCTACAGGCATAAAAATACAGCTCTAAACTGTGACCTACAGCTATGCACAGCCAAGCATCACATCATACGACAGCCTTAACATTAGCTAGAAGCACGTCTGTAGTTGCTTCAGACTATCATTATTCATCTCACTACCAACAATACCTTTGGATGGATTTAGCAACAAGCATTTGAAACTGTTACCATCTTTTTTAAAATTGCTGCCATCGGCAGAACTCAATTCAAAAGGTAGGAGATCTTAATGGACTTTCTACAAAGTATTTGAGAGACTGTGTTAGGTTAAATGGATTACTACTTCTCTCTGGTACAGAGGATGAAAAAGAATCTTAAAAGCAGAAAACCTTAAACTGTCATACTCAGTACATAAAGTCATTTTTCTAAGCACAGTTTGAGTAAATAAAAAAAAAAAAAAAAAAAAAAAAAGAAAAAAGGAAAAACCTTGTTTTCTTCCAGCAGTAGTAACAGCCTGGAAACAGGATATGCTAGAATAAGAGACCTTCAAGCAACCTAACCTGAAACAACGCTGTTCACAGACAACTGCAAAGGTAATTTATATTATTTTATTCCAATTAGTATGCTTGTGTCTGCATGACTTGTAACAAACTGCAATTTAGAAGTGTATTCCATCAGATTTCAGTTTCCAGGTTATGTTAACAAGAATTTATTTAAAATAAAAACTGATACAGAAGTTTTAAAAACAGATCACGCTGAGTTCCAGAACCTGGCTTCATTTAATAACTTTTAAAATGTGCAGATAAATTCAAATTTTGGAGGTCTGTGGTTTTGTGTTTTGCTGGGGGGATTTTCTTCTTGATTTGTTGGTTGTTTTGGTGAAGGTGGGGGGTGTTCTTGTTTGGTCTGGGGTTTTTCTGGTGGAGGTTTTCGGTTTTGTAGGTTTTGCTTGTTTCTTTTGCTTTGGTTTTTTGTGTGTTTGTTGGTTGTGGTTTTGTTTGGATTTTTTTTAAACCCATATATACTACCAGGATAAAAAATGAAGTATTTCCAAGATTACAGATATGCACTTTTAAATGCTGTAAACTTCACGGAGTTATGTTAACTCAGAAAACAAATGGAAAATAGTATAAAACATAAGGATTGTCATATTTAGTTATGGCTTGGCACTTAATTGATATCACTACTTACATTGTTCTGCAAAATATTTTAAGATCATTAATAAAGTTTTCTTTAAACATTCAGTTGCTAAAAAGGAAGTCTACAAGTATAAATAACTATTGGTTGTACAGAAATAAGCAAATTTTTTTTTCTCCCCTCACAGCCTAAAAATGCCACTTTTTGGCTGGATGAAGTGGTCAAAAAATGACTCCTACAAACAAACAAGATATCCTGGATCAGAAGTAGTTACAAAAACCCTACTGAGGGAACTGAAATGGCACCTGAAGGAGCGTGAAAGATTAGTGCAAGAGATTGAAAATGAACAAGAAGTCCAGAAGACTGGCATGGATTACAACTGGCTGAAGAACTACCAAAACCCTCAAGCAACAATTCCAGCTACTGAGCAACGGCAGCTCGAAGTTCTATGTTCACAAATCCAGCCTTGCCAAACAGGAACTGTTCTCAGCAGGTAATTGTTTCGTATTTCTCTACCTTCGAGCACTCTATCATAAGTAAGATGTTTCTTCTACCTAATCCAAGTTTATATTTGGTTCTAATCTTTCTTCCAAAGTAACAATGACCAGCAACTGGAACACATATTTACAGGTGTTTTAGAAATTACACCTTTAATATGCTGTACTTGAAGGAAGTTCGTAGTCAGGATTTTCCTGATCCAATTCAAAACATGGAAAGTCTCACATGCTTAAACATGTGACCTCCCACTGCTTGCACTTTTTTCCTGTGTTATTTATTTCCAGTATTTATTAAATAGTAAGCTAATAACCAAAAGTCAAATTAAAGCACTATTACGCAGAGACCCAGCTTCACTGTCCAAAATATATGGAAGCTTCTAAAACTAGCAAATTAATGTAAAAAAATATTTTTTTTAATTCCCATTTTTTAAAAACAAACAACCCACCCCTACATTTTACAATGAAAAATTCTCCTGTGCCTGTATTTTAAATACATTTTCTAGGGACATGCAGAAATGACAGAACAAGATTATGTGCCTTTTAAAGCCCAGAATATACCTAAGGGCAAAGTCAGTTTAAATCAAGTTACCCAGATGGGTCAAAAAACAAAACAAAACAAAACCACCAACAAAAAAAAGCAAACCCAATAACAATAGCTTTCAATCCTCATAACAGCTGGACCGCATCCAGTGCATTGTTAAAGCTCTCTTCCTCTTACAATCTTTTGGGGGAGGTGTGTGGGGAAATGTGGCAGCAAGGAATAAATGACACTAGAATGTAGTCATTTCCTCCACCTTCCCTTCCCCTCAAAAGGCCAGAGAGGAAACAGTAGAGTTTCAACACTGATGATTAGATCTCAATTTTTGTTTGTTTCCAGATTTCGTGAAGTTTTGGCAGAAAATGATGTTTTACCCTGGGAAATAGTCTACATATTCAAGCAAGTTTTAAAAGATTTTCTTACTACCATTAAGAGAGAAAACCAACCAGACCAGCTGGTAGATGCATGGAATACAAATTGCTCTCAACATTTCAGCCTGCATGGACACAGTTCTAACAGATCGGACAAAGATGAAATCCCCACAGTTTCAAGTTATGTCGACAAAAACACACAAAGCATGTTTCCCACCTTCTCTCATAGAATCTGGAATCTGCCCTATTACTACCCATCAAGTTAAGTTGGCTTGTGTTTCTTACAAAAAGCTATATAGCCATTTGCATTCCTTTCTTGTGACTGCCATTCGCAAACACAGGAATAAGAAATGTGACATGCTCCCCCTTTTTCCAAGTTCAGAGATTAAAATCCTTGATTATAGCTAGTATGCAGTAAACAAACTTTAAATATGAACTCTCCTTTTATCTTTATAGTTCCTTAAAGATGTTGTGTTTGAAAGTACCTTTTAACCAAAAATGTAGATGTTTCTGAAAAAGCTCTGAAGTATTTTATTTTTGAACCATATACAGCTAGATGTATTTAAACAATAAGACTGCTTTCCATATTTTGAAACACCATCAAATCCACAAAGTGTTAAGCAAAAACTTCTGTATGTCACACAGCTTTTAGGCTCTATTGGAACTTTATACTGTGTAAGATAACTGGTTTAATAGAGTATCAGTTATACTAAATAAACTGGTAAATACTTTTTGGATCTGAATAGTTATTTCTTCAATAATAAGTTTAAAATTAAAACAATATGAGTGTTATAACACACACTACATGTACTGTTTCTATATTTTTTTCCAGACTGTACGCATGCTTAAGTACTGTGAAGGCAGGTAATTAAATGAAAACATCCAATATTTAATGGCCTTTAACAACTAGCGCTCTATTCTTCAAGAAATTAATGATTTTATTTCAAATAGTTTTACTTCATTTGACTTACTGGAAACTATCTGGAAACCCAGACTCAGCAGTTTTGATCCAATCAGACAGTACTTTTTAAAACAGCAAAAGAATCAACAGATCATTTCCAGAGCAAGAGGTGGTCATTTTAAATTCAAGCACAACAAAATTTCATGTTTTTCGGTTGCCATCATCTATCACTCTGGGTTCCTAAGAAAAGTTTCACAAGACTGGATATGTAGTGGTTATGGTCACAGCAGACAATTAGAGCAGAAAATCAATGAAAACGTATGCCAGAATTCAGTTTGTTACTCCCATCCTTGTATGTAACAAATTTTCACATCTTTTATGTAACCACTACATCTCCAGATTTTCTTTTAATCTCTCTGCCACATCATAAAAAAAAATGGACAAGACTCACAGGGCCCAATTCACAAAATGCACTATTTTGCAAACACAGAGGAAAACTTCTTCCTCTGATATTTTCTTCAAACATATTGAAGACTACATTCAGATTTCCTCAAGTTGGTAACATACAGCTGAAAGATATTGCCTTCTGCTCCACAGTCATATCCCCCATCCAGGAAGGAATTTACTAATAATGCAACATAAGTTGAGCAAAACAAATGTCACAATATTTTCACAAAAAGATAAAAATACTATTTTAAAAAATCCTTTCAAAAGCTTATAATCTAGAGAACATTTCATGCAGAAGAGTGGAACATAATACACACAGAAGGTGAAAATCTTGCATACACTTAACTGACAAAGCACTAGAGCAAAGCAGTTTCTATAGGTTTAGAGTGATAAAAAATTGCAGGTCAATACGAAAAGTAGCCAGTAACCCTCCACTTTCCATAAACGAGACAAAACTTTGCAAGCATGTGCGACTCATATCCACAGAGAGCTGGTATAAACTCTTTTCCTCTTCTTGTGCGGTTGTTAGTTTGTGGGTAAATAACAAAAGTGTTGCTCTCACTCTGCCCTACTGATGCAGAGTAAGGAGTATCAGGTTCTTTTCATGCAGTTCTAAATAATGCAGACATGGATCCCTGCATGAGGGCAGGCATGGTTTGAAAGGTTTTTCCTTCAGTGATAAAGCTCCCTGAAGAGTTAAACTTCAAGTACTTTTTCCATAGGAGAGTAACATGTACTGAGCATATAAAAGGTGTTAGCAGAATTATTATTACATTGAGAATTAACATCCACAATGCTGGTTTCAGAAAATATTTTTTATTTGCTCAAAAGGTACAAGATTCCTGCAATTGCAATTCACATAAATTAGTTTCTTAAAATAGTACCCTCATTGCTTTCTACTGGAAAATAGTTGAAAAAAGCCCTAAAAATTTAACTTAAAAATTACAGTTTCTGGAAAATGGCAGGTCAGTAAACATGCAAGTTCCACTTACCTCTATAATCATCAAAAACATGTAGGGGAAAATTAAAGCCAAAAATCACCCCACAAGATGACTACAGATACAACTTGCCCATTCTTCATAAATTTCACTTCAATTTCACTTTAATATAAGCAAATGCAGTCTTCTAAGGCCAGAAACAAGAACCATCAACAACATACACTAAAAGGCAGTTGCTGAATAACAGTTAAAAAAAATACATCGAGGCATCATAATCCCAATGCATTCTTAGGAAATACACAAAAAAGTTCACCTACTTTTATATGTGTTTTATTGATGAAACTGATACTAGGCTGCTTCATCCAGTCCTGGTGTCCACACTTGGGGGGAAAGGAGAGGGAGAAACCAGGCTGGGAACTGGAGAGGGTATAGGAAAAAAAATTATCCAAATGCTGAGAAAAATGCCATCCACCAAGTCCTCACTTGGTCCATTTTTTCAAATACAGAAATGAGAGGTAACTTTATGGAACACAAGCACCTTCATCTGATGACAGTATTACGTACTCTCTCTGTAGTTAAAAAGCAGAGAAAAGGATAGAAAAAACCAAAGGTATAAGAGCAAGAAGACAAACTAAAAATGTTAAACATATTTTAAAGAAATATGCTAGGTTTACTGCAACATGCTACAAAGAGAATCTGTACCTCAGTCTGCCAGCTAAAACAAGCTATTTTCTGCAATTTAGCTTGCACTTACAGACAGCAGTAACATGGCTGTGGGCCAGCCAACATTTCTCTGCTTAAGATTACTGAGAACACAACCTTTTCTTTAAGCACTTTTTATTTATGGCCTTGTCCCGATCCAGTATCGGGGAGGGTTTCAAGCAATCCCAAGAGCAAGATTAAGACGCAAACGAGGTCAGATGCTGCACAAACCTTGTAAGCTTTATTTAACGAAATAACTGATAATAGCAGTAGGACAGAAGAATAAAGGAAAAGTCAGAATAGCTAAGCAAGCAAACAAAAGAGATGCAGCAATACTAGTTACCACCACCACGAGTCTAGTGGCGTTCCGCTGATCCGCTTCCGGTGCAGGCAACGGGTGGAAAGCAAGCAAGCGAAAAACTTCGGCAGGCGAGAGCTTCGAGGAGCGATACAGTGAAGACAAGCGAAAAACTACCACAAGCAAGAAGCTTCGGCAGGCAATAGAGAAAAGGCAAAGGAAAAACTACAGCAGAGAGGAGCACGCAGCTCCATTTATACAGTCTCCACCACTAGTTCGCTCATTGCCACAGAGCTCATCTGCCCCGTGTTCCCCCATGTCCGCATGCCCTGATGACAGTGGTTGTACCAAGGGGGGGTCAGCTACTGATGCCTTCGGCTTCCGCACATCCCCCTTGTCCCCCAGCCCTGCACGCACATGCGGCTTTTCCAGCTCCTGGCAGATTCTCTCCTCCCAGCAACAGGACGTCGAGGCCCAGCCTATGAAATGGCGTGGTGCTGAGACAGACAGCTGCCATCTTACACCACCCTGCTGCTCTGAGGGGGGGAATGATCTAACAGCAACGTCGAGACAAAATGGCTGACACAGTCCCTCACCGGCCTACATGATTTGCACAAGGTGATCTGGCACTATACTATTCCTTACACTAACCCAGCTGGTATTTCTGACATAGGCTGGCAGCCGACACAAACCACTCCAGTGACAGAATTTCTTTTCATTTGGTTAAATGCAAATAGAGGAATTAAAAAGTTAATCAATGACCTATTTAAGGATCAGAATTCCAGCCTCAATTTCTGAGAACTATTATCTTTCCCTAACAAACTCAATTACTAATATGGCTGTTCTAGAGGTAATTCAAGTAACAAGATAATCTTAAAAGCCTTGGGAAATGAGGCATCACTGGTAAAGGAAGAGAACACATTTACACCTCTTTTTCAGGGAGGTGTGATGCATCTACATCCCATTAGACAATCTCAGTAACATTTTTGTAAAATTTTAGTTATTATCCATGCTTGTGTGCAGCAACACTCCTGTTACTGCAATTACTAATTTGGTATTAATGTTACACACCTTTACATATAAACAATATATCCTACATATAAAAAAGTAGGAAAACAAGTCTCCATCAAAAAGCTTGAAATAAATATAAATAAGCATTTGAAAACTTTGAAATAATTTTGGTTTTGATTTTCCCAAGAAAATAACCAAAAGTTTTGAAGGAAATATTAATAGACTATTATGCCACAAGCAGTCTCAACAAAAGTAAACTCTTTTGTTTTCAGCTATTCAAACTCTTTAAGAAGCCAGTGAATAAAATCTAATAATTTCCTACTTGAATCTAAGCCTTCTCAAGATTCACATTTTGCAAAAACTCTAAATGTAAGCACATTCCCAGAACTGTGAAACAGAAGTGTATATGGAAAAAGACAACTAAGCAAACACACCTTCTTACACAGGTTTTCATTTTGTAGCAGCACACACGTGCACCTACCATCTACACTCAAAGATTTTATACATGTTTAATGATGAGAAATTCTGTTCACGCTTACATAAATGGCTTTTAGGATGTATATCCCCTCTCTCTTTTTCTCAGATGGAAAAGAAAAAAAGAAAAAAAAAACGGTAGAAGTAACTTCTCTCTGGTAACACAACTGTCAAATGCGACAATTATGTTACCTGCTAAGGCTTCTGACTGGAAAGGGATATCTAACCAAAGATGAAGATTTGCCACTGCCTAGGCACAAAAGGTTTGATGAATCTTCCTAATTTCTTTTGTGTTACTTAGTAGATTTCGGTGGCTTAGTACTCAGATGGGTTCAACAGCCTCTTATCAAACCCTTGCCTAGTATACAAAAATGTTACCGGCACCTAAATAAACACTGAGAAGTCCCAGACATCTCGTACATACTGGGTTTAGAAATTACATTCACAGTAAATAACCTTGAAAAAAAAAAGTAAAATTCTGCCCGGTCACGTCTGAAAAATTGTAACTACTTGCATAAAACCCAGGAGCTCTCAGTGAAGAGCTTGCTAATGGCAGCACTTTTACATTAAAGGATGAGAGATAAAATATTTTGATGTGCCAGTTTTGTCCTTTCCTTGAAGCAAAGACAGACTCTGCTGAACTGTCAGAATATCTGCTATTTAGATGATAGGCGAGAGGTTCATTCTTTCTCAGAAAACAACATGCACCCTTTAAGAGAGTTCCTGAAACACAGCGCCCCATACTGCTGTACATCACACCGAGGAAACAAAAGACCCTAGCTCTAGACTGTACCTCCAGCTAATTTTTAAAAAGAATTTAGTATATGGAAGTGCACACAAAATACTTTTCTATAGTGACTACAGATACACTATCCAAACCTGATCTAATTATAAAGATTACTATGCACTGCCTCAACACCTTCCAGTTTAGGCAGCAACCAAGGGAAAGTATTTTTTGTTTTCAATATCCGGACACTAGCAAAAACCAAATGTACCCGGCTGCTATGAAAATATACATACAGTTCTTTTCCTCAGCTGTAAACTCTACCATCTCAGAATAAAGCAACAAGGAGTGACATGCCAGTATACCTTGGACTAGCTTCACCCTGGTAACTTAATGCTTCAGATAAGTCACAAGAGCAATGAGCATACATGGTTTAGTTATAAAACACATAGCAGTTGATTCTGGAAAACAGACTGTCAACTGCTGCTCAGACAACACAGAAGTTCCTACAGGGAAGCAAACAGAAAGATTCAGTTTGAAAATAACCAAAACCATCTGCTCTAAGGGAGATCGCAGTATCTCAGTAAGTATCTGGGTAAGAAAATCAGAAGAAAGAAGAGATAAGAAATAAGTCAGTTTTTCACGAACTTGTATCATAAGTAACAAATTAAACTTACCAACAAAGGTACAGGGTAAGTTACACCCACTTACTAAATTTATTTATTTGCAAACTTTTGTATAAATGAAGAGCACTTAGTTTCAAACAACATATTAAATTACGGGTCAAATAACTTATGTACTGTAAAATAACTACTTGATATTCAAGGATCAGCCACTGAATACAACATGATAAAAACCAGCAATACCGTTAAAGGACTATAAGGCGAAAAAAATATCAGCCCAAATAATCAGTGTTGCTCACTGATTTAATAGTGGGTAAATAGGTAAAAACATAGTCTCACTGATTTAATAGTGGGTAAATAGGTAAAAACATAGTCTGTGAGAATATTATTCCCTAACAAACAAGTAAATTGACTCATGAATCCCGTTTTATTTGTCACTTGCCACTGCCAAAATACCTAATCTACACACCTGAATCAGAATGAAGCAGGTCTTTTCTAACACTGTTCCACAGTTTTTCCAACAGCACTTGCTGCAAATGCACGCCAACACTATGTAGAAAGCAAATCCCACATGTAGCATGTCTAGTGAAGATCAAGCCAACAGAGGTAAGTTGCAAATCAGAAAACAAGTATTAAACACACAATACCCACACCTACCCACACCTGGACTACAGTTCTTAAGGCTGGAACCCAAGAACTGCACCAGCCCAAGCCCACGCTGAGCGGGGAAGCCTGAGGGGGTAATCCAGACGCGAGGGAAACGCCCAGCACACCCGGGCCAAGGGCACAGACACACAAAACGGGAAGCCCCCGGTGCCCGCACTGACGCCCCTTCGCCCCGGGTGTGCGGAGCATCCCCCGGCCGCCAAGCGCAGAGGTGGGGTGTCCCCCACTCACCCCGCAGCTGCTAACGATTCCCGTGCGGCGAGGGGGCGGACGGACGGACTCTGCAGGGCGCTGGCTTGCGGCTCCTCGCCCAAGGCCCTGTCGGCGGTGAGGGCCCTATCGGTGGTGCGCCCGCCGCCGCTCCGCTCGGCTGGGACCCGCCGCAGCATGATGGCGGCGCTCCCGCCACGCGGCT